GGCCTTTCATAGATTTTGTCTACGACACGTTAGGAGTAACCTAATGAGTCACTTCAAAGGCTTGCACCTTAGAAGGTTATGTTGGGCAATGGGAAAAGCCAGACAATTGCGCAAGTGGCGGGCATTCAAACGAGAATTGAGGAACATGTTTCCAGATGCATGGAGTTATCTGTCTAACATTGGAGCTGAGAAGTGGTGTCTAACACATGACGGTGAGAACCGTTGGGGTATTCTTACAACCAACATTTCCGAAAGTTATAATAATGTACTTAGAGGAGCTCGTCATTTGCCTATCCGGGCTTGTATTGATATGACATTTCATCGGACTGTTGAGTTGTTTAAAACAAGAAGAGAGGATGCTAGACATTGCCGTTATCCATTTCCTCCAAAGATATGGCGGCGGTTTAAGAATTCGGACCTGAAAGCGGGAACCCACAGGGTTGTTGAGTTCGATGGCTCATCGGGGGTGTACAAAATTGTGACTGGTAGACGTGTGGATGGTAAAGGGGGTAATACACAAACGGTAAAGTATTTTGATAAAACATGCTCTTGTGGTAAGTGGCAGTGCTACAGACTTCCCTGTTCGCACGTGATGGCCGTGTGCAGGCACCGAGGTGATAATCCTGGTGCACTTGTAGATCCCCAATTTACAAATAGGCGGTGGGCGGTGCAGTATTCAGGAAAGTTTAGCCCTTTGCCACATCCGGATACTTGGTTCCAACTAGATTGGGAGCTGCGGGCAGATAGTAGTAAATATGTTGCACGTCGGGCTGGAAGGGTACGAGCTAGAAGAATTCGGAATGAGATGGATAAGAGAGACCCAGAGGAGCCAAGAAGATGTACAAATTGTCATCAATCGGGCCATAATAGAAGAAATTGTCCAAATTTTAGAGCTTGATGTCATCCGTTTTAGGGATATGAACCAGTGTACTATGATATCTGTAATTTTTGGGATTATGAAATTAATATGATTTATGAGATACATGTTGTTGATCAATGTTTCAATCGGGTCATAATTTTGACCTTATTTTTAGCAGCTCTGTATTTAAAGTGTTGCATTAGTTGAAGAAACTCCTATTCTTCTATTCAAATGTGTGTAGGCTTATATGTTACATAATGTATTTGCAGCTATTGTTGTCAGAGGTATGGCCGACATTTCTACGGGGGCAGTCCTGCATCCGGGCCCATTTGTGTATGATATTATCTCAGCTGGCACTGCACACCGGGCACGTTCTATATTTGACGGGCACATTCTAGGTGATCAGCTTGATGTCAGACGATGTGATAGGCATTTTTGGGATCATACACCTATCCCAGAGACTGTTCGGCATTATATTCGATTGGCTGGCTTTGAAGGGGTGCTTGACTGTGGATATATGATGCTCGATCATGCTTTGATCACTAGTTTAGTGGAGCGATGGCGGCCCGAGACTCATACATTTCATCTCCCCGTTGGAGAGACTACAGTTACCTTACAGGATGTTGAGGTTCTGTGGGGTCTACCCATAGATGGTCCTCCAGTTATAGGGATAGATACAACTTATAGTGTTCAGGAGTGGATGAATTTATGTGAGGAGTTGCTTGGTTTTTCTCCCTTGATGTCAGATTTTGATGGGCGACGGCTGAAATTGGGGTGTTTATCTAGAGTATTAGATGCAGGGTTGCCACCCGATGCTTCGGATGTCCACTGTAGACAGCGGGCCCGCGTATACCTGCTTCTGCTATTAGGCGGTCATTTATTATCAGATAAATCTGGTAATAAAGTCCCGTTGTTGTATATGCCATTACTACGAGATTTGGAAACTGTTGGGCAATATAGCTGGGGTAGTGCGATATTAGCAACTTTGTATCGATCATTGTGTAGCGCCACATCTCCCTATAGATCGTCCATTGCGGGACCATTGATGTTGCTTCAGGTACATTTGTCTCGTTCAAAGTGTCTAGATTTAACTATAGAGGAGTTTACATGGTCAATTAATATATTCAAATACAATTTAAATACAGCTATGGGCGTGGGAACGTATACCAACAGTTCGCCCTGATCGAGTGCATCCGTTAGAGCACTATCCTGGTCCATATGGAGCTCGGTATGTATATCAAATATATGTATATAATACTAATAAAAATCAAAATTTTCATCTTTAAGACACAACGGCTCTAATTCGTTCCCTGCAGGTGGAATGTTCAATTTGATGTGCATAGAGTTGCAAGACATGTTGTATCTATATTCCGAGATCAGTTGACGGGCTTACGGGCCCGAGAGGTACAGTAACATCATTTGATGCTTTTACGATTGGGTCCTTTGCCGTTATATGGCACAACACTTTTTCCATTAAAATTAGGGTCATATGTTGGTTGAAGGTTATGTCATTGAATAATTATTGGTCTTGCAGTTCATATGGCAGCCATACTCGGACGATATTCTCGCTTCTCTGCCTCCCTATTGTACTGCAGGACGCCGCATTTGGATATCTGCCACGTATCTCATATGTTGGGAAGTTGTCGAGCCACATCTTTCCAATCGGGTTATGAGACAGTTCGGATATCATCAGCCCGTGCCTGATCTAAGATTGACCGAAAATCAACAGGAACTGCATTCTCTTGATCGTCGTGGCAAGGGGAACCAAGACTGGTTAACTGCACATCGAGCATATGTTGAGGTGTGGACTGATCGTCATTCACATGTGGAAGATGGTGTTGTAGCTGAAGATCCCACATATCCATCCGATGAGTATCGTCAGTGGTATCGCGAGCGGACAGTGGTATATGTTTCAAATCCTACTAGGCAGCTCATTTTACCGGAGGGCTTTCAGGGTGATAGCGCCAGAACACAATATCTGGTCAGTTTTCCTTACAACTAGTTAAATACAGTCCCGGACAAGTTGTCGATATAGATTTAACTCTATTATTCCTTATTCATCCACATATTTGCACTCCAGATGGATGCTATGACTCAGGTGTATTACATGGCAGAGACCTCTCTAACGCAGAGTGACGAACAGCACGCGAATTATTTTAATGCAATGAAGGACTTTGCATCCATGACATTGGAAACTGTAGGGGAGTCATCCCGACTTGCATTTCGCCCTTCACGAGTGCCACAGCAAATTCCACAGCCAGCCGACCCCAATCGCGTTGAAAGAGCTCCTAGGAATGTTCACGGAGGTCAGCATGGCGGTGGACGCCGTCGTAGATTTCGATCACCAGAACCCACCGTCCAAACCGGACTTGATGGAAGGTCACAGGCTACTGAGCAACAGGGCACCTCTACCGTACCTTTTGGTCATTCTAGGTCCCCAGTACTTATGGAGGCGTTTACGCCCAATACAGACGAGTTTCATGGCAGTGGTGAACAACATGTGGGAGGTACAGATGCAGGCCAAAGTACCCAAGCACTTGATCAAAGACTTGAGTCACAAATTACGCAAATCGATATAGTGATGCCAGCCCAGCCACGTCGCACACAAAGAGCACACAAACCCAGAGGATGTGGCACGCATGGAAAACTTGGACATCATTGATGTTCAAAACTGTAATTGGTTGCTCCTGTTATGAATATTATTCTAAGTGTAGGGGAGAAAAATGTGTGGGACTTGAAGTAGTTTTATGTTTTGTATTTGGACAAGTTGTCGGAAATATTGCTTAGATTAAATGTTCATGACTTTGGATTTGCTGGCAGGGAGTTTAGTCCACTTTTAAGGGGAGATTCTGTCCAATTTTTTTCAAAAGATAGTAGATGTATATATATAAACATATATATATATATATATATATATATTCATGGAGCATATAAAATGGCAACCACATGAATGTTCCAGTGAGTTTCGGTGAAAACATGTTTATAATTGCACATGGACTCATTCAATGTGCATACGAGACCTAAAGGTGTCATTTTGGTGTAAATGTGTAAAAAAGATCAAAGAACCTCACCCCTTGATTTGAAATGTGGACATGTTTGATGTGTTTTGATTGGTTGGATATTGTGTTTTTGGTATATTACACTTGCGTGGGGGGTTAGATTTGATGAACAGGTTGTCAAATATGTATTTCCGAATTTGGTGAAAATTGGAGAAAAAGTTTGGTGGAAATTGTAGTTTCTGTAAATGATGCAGGGTCGAAACGATCTGAGCTCGGATCCAAAAAACCCAGAAAGGATCCGCGCTCGGATCATTCGAACCCATGGCTTTCACTTTACAAATCCGACCTCGGATCCAACAAAACTCAGATAGATCCGAGGGCTCGTCTGAACTACCGTGAGCGATGATCCGAGCCCTTTAGGATCCGAGGGGTGATAAAACACATCCGACCTCGGATCGTCGAACAAAAAATCCTTGCATTGTGAATCCGCCCTCGGATCTAAAAAACTGTGATAGATCCGAGGGCTCGTCTGAACTATCGTGAGCGATGATCCGAGCCCTTTCGGATCCGAGGGGTGATAAAACACATCCGACCTCGGATCTTCGAACTCAAAATCCGAAAATTGTGAATCCGCCCTCGGATCCAAAAAACTGTGATGGATACGAGGGCTCGTCTGAACTACCGGGAGGGGTGATCCGAGCCATTTCGGATCCGAGGGATGATCAACACGGATCCGTGCTCGGATCCTCGAAATCATGATATACCTCGCACTTGTGAAATGCGAGGTCATGTACCTCGCATTTCTGAAATGCGAGGTTACCTATTTTTTTTTTTTTTTTTTTTTACTTTCGCTCTTACACAATTTAAGGCAGTTCGCATTTATCAAATGCGAGCTCCTTGAGCTCGCATTTGATAAATGCGAACACCCTAAAAACAGAAACTAGTACACAAAATACCCCCTTTGTAGAATTTTTTTAAAAATCATAATAATTTTAGAAATTTTTCCATAAATTAAGTCTCATTTTTGCAAGGAGAAGTGAGCATCATTAGGCTTCAGAGATTACATTTTGTTCATCAAACAATTTGATGGGTTGATTGCAAAGTGACACATCTAGTACAATTGTTTGATTGCTAATTTGCAGTGCCGATTACCAGCAACAGTGCGCTGTCTCTCTCATCCAAGCGCTCATGTTCGGGCTCTTAGCACATCAGTTCTTCGTGCAATTCTGTATGCTGGTTCACTAAAAGCTAGTGGGAAAAAAGTGGACAAAAATGGCATTCATGGCCCTGCTTATCAGTATTTAAGTGTAGGCAATATCAACTGGCAAACTGATATTGAGAAGTGTTTAACATGGGAAGCTCATAGCTTACTTGCAACTGGAATGCCTACTCAGTTTCTTAGTACTGCTGCCAAAGAATTAGGCTGTACCATATCCATCTGAAACTAATAGTAACATTTTGGTAATTTGACTGTTCTTGTGTTTAACAAGTGGATCTAGAAAAACAGACGCTACAATTGGTTTGATCTCTGCTTGCTAAAGCTGCTGTAGACTGTAGTATGCGACTTTTATTTGGTGTCACATTCCATTGTCATAATCCTTCATTTAGGGATAAATGCGAATTTGCCATGCAGTTAAACTTTGTGGATGAGATATGCAACAGGAGTTAGTGAATGCAGTAGTGGAAGTTTTCCCCATAAGGGTTTAAAATATCAAGCTCCAGTTTTCAGACAAATTAAAGAGTTTGTTAGATAAGATTCAATAGTCAATGACCAGAGTTGAACTGCAAATAGAATAGACGGGGTTTATTGCAAAACAGGTTCTGATAAGAGAGATTTTGGAAACAAAAATGAGCCACCACATGGAGAATGACAAGCCACTGAAAGAGATTCTCCTGCAATTGATGTCTTGCAGCAGCTTTCTTCAGGAGAATGGATCTCAATACAAACTACAGGCATATTTGTGCAAATTTAGGCCTGCAGATGCCATCAATATGACTAATTATTATAAGAAGAAGAAGAGGACGCTGAGACGACCAAGCTGTAAAAAGCCAAATTATATGTTACAAATACAGGAGACCATGGTTTGTAGTCATCGTCCGGCCTGGAATCGGAGTCACATCAGACAGGCTGGAGGAGAATTGGAGGCCGAGAATGGAAGCGGAAAGATGCCAAAGGGGGGGAAGAAGACAGGGAGAAAAGGCAAAAGATTGAGAACAAGTAAAAGAAGAAAAGAAAACAATATGGATTGAAATTCTTTGTTGAAAAGAATAGAAGAAAGTTTTTGACAATCTGCCTTCTAAGAAAACTAAGTTTGTTCTAAAGCTGACCACCATAAAGTTGAAATGAACCATGATAGCTAAGATAGAAATTTCTTGCTAGTATTTTGTTTTCCAGCTATGAGAATCAAATAATCAGCCAGCTATCTCTCGAGCTTCCACATGCCTGTTATCGTGTTGATGGATAGACTTATAGTGTAAATAGCTAGAAATGTTGATCTTTAGTGCAATCCATAAGAAAAATGACAAAGTTTCGGCACCTTTTATACCATTGGGGGAATTCCCCAACTCTGGATGTGCTTATAAATGTCACTCCGAAACTGGGAAGATTTCAGAGAGGTGTGATTTTGACTTCATTGAGACTGGGAACATTAGAAACATAAACATTTCTTCTTCCTCGTCTTACAAGAGAAACTAAGAAATAGCAAAGAAAATGCAGTAGTCTTTATCAATAAGGTTAAAACAGTAGTCAATCAGCTAGTCGGTAATCATGCCCTGCAGTTGACAGAATCCATAAATTTCATCTCCTGCAGCAGTCCTAGATTTCGTACTCATTCTGCAACTTCCAGGCTGAAACAGACTGAAATGGGGCACCCTTCTACCCCATGATCAGACATTTCCCATCCATGTCCACAGTACAAGAACTCAAGCGCTCAGAACTTCTAAGGAACAAGCTTGCTTCACATAATGATGAACGGGTTAGGTCTGTTTCTACCATTCCGAACTCTGCGAAAAGCTTCCTCCAAAAACCGATTTTTTCTTGTCGTTGAAACCTCTCCATTCCCTCAGCCACGATAATGTTTTGAACCATACGTGGAAAGATAACTTCTTCAGTCATCTTTCTATACAAAACGTGATGATCCATGCAAGAGTTGATACAATCAAACATTGCACTGAATAGAAGGAGTGCTGCATCAAAGCGCTCGGGGAAATTTGATGCATTTGTATTTGCCTCGAATTCTTTGACCACCACTATTCTTGGCTTCAGTTTTCTGATTACACCCATTAGAGCTTTCAAGTGATTGGGCCATACTAGTTGAGTCCAAAGACGCATGTCCGAGTAAATAGCCAACTCTTCATCAAATTCCAACTCAAAATAATTTTCCCTGAGGTCCTTCAGGTCTGATACAACCATCTTATATGAAAAAGGCAAATTGAGGGTCTCAGCGAAAGATGACAACCACTTGCCAGTCTCTTCCATTATCTTCTTAGAGGTTCCAACGGCCGATATCTTGAGATGTTCAAAGGGACATTCGTATCTGACAGCTAAAGCTTGCATAATCAGTGTCCAGTGTGCTCCATTGTTAATTTGAAAATCTATCAGATGAACCCTTTTTGCTGATGCTACAGCATTCAAGATGGATTCTGTTGCTGTAAACTCAGTAAAAAGAGTGAAGGGTTTTTCCTGTTGAGATGTCATCATTGCAGGTTGCATATAAACTTGGGCTAGCATCTCGTCCAATGGCTTCCTTAGCTTCCCTATCAGTTCCTCTGTTGGAGCTATTCCCCACTCTTGTTCAATCTTCTTTTCAAGAGCTTCAGCGAAACAATACACAACTCTCTGGACAGGACTGCCCCTTTTAGAAGCAAAGCAACCACACAAGATGAGCAACTTCCTTGCTTGCACATATTGTTGATTGGCCACCTTTTCGGCAGCAGCTTGAAGTAGCAGTGCAAGTTCCAAGTCTCCAGGAACTTCAGAGTGGAGACCAGATTGAGTTCCAATGCGACTGGCCACATAAGAAAGAACATCAATCTTCTGGGAGTTGAACTTAAGTAGTTGCACTTTTGCTACCTTCATGAGCCTAGCAGTTGACAGAGCTGGATGGTCAGGAGTATCCATCAGCGTATCAGAGCTCAGCTCATTGAGATTTCCTTCCCTCAAACGCTTCAATTTGGTACCATGTTGCTTCAGAAATTCCAGCGATGTCAATGGCAGAAACGGGCTTTCCTTCTTTCCTTCAGCTAGATAGGATATATGTGGTACTGAATTTGCATAATTTGCTGGACTTGTATCCATGTCTTTCCAGTTATCTTTTCACTGAGTATAATAAAGAACAGAGATCGCTTTATGTAAAATTTCTCAACTAACCACCTATTTAGAGCACTGAAAATTCCATCTTACAAATGATTACTCTGCTCAAACTAAATTTGGATCACTAGAGGCAAAAGCTGTTATCTTGACAAGTGGAATGCTCTCTTAGGAGCCAACAAAAATCCGCGAGCAGTATATACTATATAGTTGCCCTGACAAAAAAGCCGTCTTTCAGGTGGGAGGAATCTAGAAAAGTATTACTCCAGGAATTAGAAGTCCAAACACATTCAGTCGGAACTTGCCTTTTCAAATTATCCACAATGAATTAAACTAGGAATTAATAATCTTAAATGCCAAGTGATAGTGAACAAAAACATTCCCAGATAACTTTTTTGAAGTATCGTCGTGAATCTTTAAATAGAAGTATATATTTTTAAGATCTGGTTGGCTTGGGAAGTATCACTATTATACTGAATCGTTAATACAAAAGATTGTAGATAAACTGTAGTAATTAGGGGAAAAAGAGTTTTTTTTTTCCAAAAACAAAATGTCACAAGTTGCAGATCTTGATGGACCTAGTGTTTAGGGATCTGTCTATCTTAATTGCTCTTCCTTGGGCAATATTTTGTTCAAGTCTCGCTCATCAGCTCGGTTGTTCACTTTTGCTCCTTGGTTACTACTGGCATGACTGTCCACTTTTGCTCGACTCTCGGAAAGACAAATTGGCAAGTCTACTTCAGTCCCTTGAATATTGACAAGCATATTCTTGTTATGTTGAACAATCTCAGTGTCTAGTCTTATAATGGTGGGATCGTTTAGTAATAATTCCGGCCAGCTTCAGTTAAACATTGAAAAGATTCATGGGTTCTTCGTCTAATCATAGAAAGCCATTCTTCAAACATGTTTTGCTCCTATATACCTCAGTTTTGGCTCTCAAGACAGCTTCAGCTTGTCTTCAGGAAGCTACAGCTCTTTTGAATTATAAAGCCAGTTTGCAAACCAAAACAATACCCTCCTAGCATCTTGGAACTTTCCAAATTCTTATGATCTTCCGAATGTGTCAGCCTTTGCATTCTGGCTCAGCGCATCATGCATTGTGTTAAAAGTGTGAACATATTGAACTCACAAGTACTTTTGAGTGTTGATGGTACACTGTACAGCTTTCCAGTTTCATCTCTTCCAAATGTTGAATATGCTGACCTGAGCATGATTGAACTTTTTGGCTGCCTCATCATATTGCAAGATTTTGAAGCTCAATTATCTAGATTTGTCCTTTGATTAATTTTCTGGAAGCGTCCGACCTGAAGTGCTGTGTAGCAAATCAATTCTCAAGGCTTCACAGTCAATGACAACAGGCTTTCCGGTCCAATTCACAGGCCTACCATGATGCAGTTCCTGGAAGTATGTGATTTCACTGCTACCAGCACCGATTCCCCCCTACCCTTACTCATTGCTATCGTCAGACCAAAAAACTCGAAAATAGCAGAAAGAAGATTGAATACATGTTTTCATATTAAGCTTAAGACACTCAATCAGTTAGTCAGCATAGTAATTTCACCCGTAGACATAATCCTTAAATTTTAAATCCTGCAGCAGTTGTAGCTTTAGCCTTTGTGGCACTTCTAGGCAGAAAGCGTTGAGAAATTGGTTTAATTTCTTTTATGTAGATTTCTTATTTTGTGCGGAGGCAACTAATTTCCTTATTGATTTAGTTACTTGAAGTAATAGTCAAGAAATTTCCTATTTGTATGAGTTTGAGTCTAAAAATTAGAAATTATTTCTTATTCTATATAAGTTAGAAATTATTTCCTATTCTATATAAGTTTAGGAATTAGCAATTATTTACTAGGTAGGGGTTGACATACTCCAAAATGGCACACAAGGAAACCATGCAATCTTTACATGGAGCGAGAGAGGTTCATAGGAAGTGAGAGAAATTATACAAGAATTGGATTTGAGTTAAAATTCTATATTTGTATAGGCTTTATTATTTTATAATAGGTTCAATGTTGGAGTTGAAACTCGTTATATCTGTTATATCTTGTGTATCGTTTATGTTTTATGCTTGTGATTTATTTTTCATTAAATTGTTGTGTACTTGACGTGTCAATAGTTGTTTGTTTCGCGTCTAGATCCCAACAACGGTTATCAGAATGGGGTTGAAGCACTTGCTTGAAGCACTAATGCA